CACCATGGGGATATCAAAAATCCAGTGTTTCCAACCCTTGGCAACTTTAGGATGAGTGGATTTCAACTCCAAAATTCCCCCCGCCAGCATGGCTGGCTGGGGAATTCTGGGAGTTGAAGTCCACTCATCTTAAAGTGGCCAAGGTTGGACAACACTGGATTATGGCATTCCCATGGATGAAATATCCATGGCGCAAATCACAGGAGGATCGCTGCCACCACCCTCCTCTTCCTCCAACGTTGCTCAGAAATCAAAATCTAACCTCTCCCCGTCCCACAACACTAGGTTTTTAAAAGTCGTTTTGGGATTTAGTATAGTGTATGCTATCCGTAGAGAGGAATTCCACCAACATTTAGAGCAAGCCAGGGTTTAGCTCAGGGTGCAAAGCGAATCTCAGATGGCTTCAGCTTCGCACAACTCTGCAACGTGAGGAGCATCCAGTCATCAGGTGTCCCTCACTTCCGTGAAAACATAACTGGCATGTCCACCTTCATTCACACGTAAGGCAAAGGCGGGACTTATAAAATCATGTGTTCTTGAACAGGTGATGCATGTTTTATGAGTGGTGATGGTAGGTTGGCATGCAGCTTGCACGTTGCCAACTCCCAACTTAGCATGAAGGGTGAATGAACTGAGTTCATATTCAATCATCTCGGGCAGCTACATTACAATGGTGCAATGGTGATGTCGGTCCTTTGAGGTAGTCCAGACAGGAAACAAAAACCGTGAGTACTAATATTACCTTTATTGTAAGGTTCCAGTAACAGAATCTTGCAAGCCTGGAAGCACTTCTCCCCTCCCTTGCCTTCAGTTTCCAGAGAACTAGAGAGGGTTCCTTTGGAGACGCTTTCTCCACCTCCATTCCTTCTGTGGGCTGAGATTTCTCTTATCAGACTGTAGTGATCTAAGCTGCAGCAATTCCTCCTGTCTCCCAAGGTTATTCACACAGCCTATGACAGGTGGGAACACAATTTGTAGGGCAACACCTTGGTGGTGCACTCACCTTCCTCCCAAAGATGACCTCCGAAAAGCCAGGGCCATGCCAATGAAATGGCACTCCCGAACCAGAGCCTGGAAGTGATTGGAAAAGAGAGAAAAAGGAGGAGAAATTAAGTCCAGGACCAACCACCACACTGCTCTTCATCCCAAAGACCTGGAGCACAGCTCAGAAGCCTCAACTAGGGCAGAAAGCACCGCTTTCCGATCACACGATTCTGTACGAACAATCTTGACTGGTTCTTGGGCTCAAACCCAAAGGTCTACCTTGACCTCTGGAATCAGCTTCTCCCTAGGAGCCTACCCGGATCCAGTATTTCAGACCTCCTGAACAGAGCCATCCCACCAGCCTAATGAACCTGTGAAATTGTGAAATTGCCACATGATGTACCCTGACATGGGTGGTTTTAAAAAGGGACTGAATTCATGGAAGGCTGATTCTCTTGAGGACTCTTGGTCTTGAGGACTCAATGTTTATTCTAGGCTGGAGACATTGTGCCTCTCGTGACCAGTTGCAAGGGAACATTGGTGGTGTTGTGGGGTTAATCTCTATCTCTAGCTGGCATCTGGACAAGGATGGGCCTTGACTGATCCAGCAGGGCTGTTTTTATTTTTCTGGCAGAGAATCCACAGGCAAAGCTTTTCAGTGATGGTCTTGTATCTTTGGAATGCCCTCAGCTAAGGAGGAATCCATGGTCCCACCACAGCAGATGAAGCTACGAAACCAACACTGTTGCCAAGTGCAAACCCTTTCCTGCTAGAGAAGGTGTTGAAACTGCCCATCTCCTGAAGATACGAGCTACTGACCCCCAATCCCAAAACTGTATGCTCCCATGGTGCCTGGAAGCTGGAAAGGTGGTGGGTGGTATTTCTGGAAGAGGGAGCCCCATTCCGTGAAATTATTGTCTCCGAAGAAGTAGAGAGTTTCTGCAGGAAAGAAGAAAAAAGAGAAGTAGCTTTTTTCCCAGCAGATCCCTTGCTTTTCTTGAGTGTTGCAGGCCAAAACCAGGCACTAAACTGGCCTGGTTAATCATTTTGTCTTCTCCTTCTGAATGATTATCTGTGGTGTCCCAATTATATCTATTTTTTTATTGAAGTGAGCCCATCTTTCCTCCAGGTGCAAAAGGTGGGGTACAGAGCACTCCTTCTTTCCTCCAATTTTTCCCCCACAAGAAGCCTCCCATGAAGTTGAAATCTTCTCCTTAAAATGAAAACTCTGGTTGCCAAGTTCATCCAGTGACTAACGATGAACTGGAGGCTGGATCCATTCAAGTCCCTGAATGAGAAGCCAACAGACTAAGCATCCATTGTAGTCTGTGGGCATCTGCCCTCCTGCCCAACTGCATTTTCAACTCTAGGAAGAGAGCAACAGGCATCCATTCGCTCCTGCAACACCCAGCACCCTCTTGTCTCAGTATTTTCAAGGAAAAAATATCTGGGAGAGAAGAGAGTTTGCCAGGGAGAGAGTCTATCTGCACTGGGATATGAGAATAACCTTGAGGAACAGGGGGAAGAGCTGCAGCCAAAACAACAGTCAGATAAGAGAAATCCGAGTCCGGAGCAGAAATGTAACCTGAGAAAGCGTCTCAGAAATGACCCTCCCTAGTTCTCACAAAATTAAAGGGAGGGAGGAGGAAGAGCATTCAGACTGGCAAGACTGTTACTGTAACCCTATAATAAAAGTAGTTTTAGTATTTATAACTTTGGTGTTCAAGCTTGGTCTATCTCAAAGGGCTGACATCAACAGATTCTGGTCTGTGGGATCCAGGCTGAGTTTGGCTCCTGCAGGTAAGGTTGCTGTGGTTTAAGGTAGCATGGAGAACCGACCATGTCAAGGCATAGTAAGTCCTACTCACCACTTCCTAGGGAAGCCAGATCCTGTGGTTCCAGCAAGTGATCCACATAATCTTGGAAGGGCAGGTCCACTGCAGCAAAGAAACAAAACCAGTAAGAAAATCTTCTGCAAATGCAAATGTGAGCAATTTTTGGACCCAACTTTTTGTACAATGGACAAGGGCCGTTTTTTAATGAGGGTGTGCAAAATTGCACCTCTGGATCTCAGCTCCCTCTTGCCTCAGCTTGGGGTACAGCTGGGGAAGAAGGACCTCTCGGTGTCTTTCCTGTCCTCACCTTTGTGGTAAGAGTAGGTGTTGGCGGTACTGAGACGAACCAGGTGTTCTCCAAACCTGGCAAGCAGCTGATCTTTGGTGCACTGGGCCTGGAATTCCTGTGGGCACAGAAGGGAATCAGAATGGAGAGACACCTCCAATTTTACAATTCTACATCTCCCCCAAATTTTGTCCTGACTATGAAACAAGATTGCGTTGGCCAGAGTCCATATGCAATACAAATATGGGACAGTTAATTTCTGGGGCAGTGTTTCTCAACCTTGGCCATTTGAAGATGTCTGGACTTCAACTCCCAGAATTCCCCAGCCAGCATGGCTGGCTGGGGAATT